TTGAGGACGGCCCAGGCTCAGGGAGGAAGGTATAGACATATGTAGACACCGGTGGTGGCTCATGTCACTTGAGCCACAGTGCCACTTCCGGCTTTTTTTTCCTGCTTATGTGGTGCTGAGGAATCGAACCCAGGGCCTCAGGCATGCGAGGCAAGCGCTCTACCACTGAGCCACCTTCCCAGCCCCAAGATTTTCCAGACTCTTATCTGCAATTAACCAACAAAAAGCTGGTAGAGAACCAGATGTGAGTGGAACACTTGAGAGGAAGGAAGAAGGGAAGGAAACAAGGAAGAGAGGGAGGGAGGGAAAAAAGGAAGGAGAGAAAGAAGGGAAGAAGGGAGGGAAGAAAGGACATCATAGGCATGAAAGTATTCATGGTGTTACTCAGGAGGCTGAGATCTGAGGATCACAGTTCAAAGCCAGCCCGGGCAGGAAAGTCTGTGAGATTCATCTCCAATAACCCATTAGAAAACCGGAAGAAGCGCTGTGGCTCAAGTGGTAATGCACTTGCCTTGAGCTGAAGAGCTGAGGGACAGCGCCCAGGCCCAGAGTTCAAGCCCCATGATCTGTGTTGATGCAGGAAGAGCACTGGTTTGGGAGCACTGTGTCTGGGTGCAGTCAGGGGTAGAGCACTTGCCCAGCACGCACAAGACCCGAAGGCTCCAACCACAAAAATAAATAATAAATAAAACATAGGACTTCACTGCACAAAAAGTGAGTCATAATGATTGCAACTCAGAAAAAGATTCTGCTTTTCGTGGAGCCAGGCACCCGTGGCTGGCTGCTATAATAAAAACCCTAGCTACTCAGCAGGCCGGGATCTCGGAGTCAAAGCTTGAGCCAGCTCAGGCAGGGAAGTCCATGAGACTCTTGTCTCCTATTAACAACCAAAATGCTCAAAGTGAAGCTGTGGCTCAAGTGATAGAGCACTAGCCTTAAGCAAAAATATGTTTAGGGACAGCACCCAGACCCTGAGTTCAGCCCCAAGATTGGCACCATAGATGAATAAATACCCTGTGCATGTGTGTAATAAGTAAATAGGCACACGTGCACATCAAGTCTCAGAACATTTGGGGGACATTTATCCAATGCTAGGCTCAGTGCTGAACACTCCAGATGCCGGGGTGTCCAGGACTCCTCCACGCCCCTCCCCCAGCTCGGGACGGGGTCTGGGCTTCCTTCCCTGGCATCTCGGGCATTTCCTGGGAGGTGCTGGCCCCATGGCTGCAGCCCCACCCCCACAGGAAGAGGAAGACACTAGCCATGCTCTCTCTGGGTCCTATGGGGGGGGCACTGGCTGTCTCTAGTCAGGCGGGGCCTAAGGCCCTGAGCTCAGTCCCTCAGCCAGCTGCTCCACAGGAACCCCTGGATCCTTCCGGGACACACTCTCCGACCTCGGAGGAGACACAATATCCATCTCTTGCCTGGGGCTGTGGTTTCCGTAGAAGGAGCTAGGTGGACAGGCCTCTCCCCTGTTGCCTGGACCACTTCCTGTCCTTTGCACTCCCCCGCCCCCCCCCAGCCCCAGGGGGGCCCAGGGGAAAAGCGGCCTTTCCAGTGCCAGAGTCCCTGGAGGAGACATCCACTTGGGAAGCCTCTGTCAAACCAAGCTTGGATGGTCTCCAAAGACCTTCTCTGAGTGACGAGGGTACGGGGCCGCTGGGCAACAGCCCAGCCCGTCTGCTGCAGGAAATGGACCACCACCGCCACCGCCGCCCGCGTCAGCTATGAGAAGATCCAGCTGAGAGCAACACCATGAGAAACACAGCTCAGTTTGGAAACGTGAAGGAATCACTGCATCTGGAATCTGCCCAATCAGGGCTGCTTCACACATTTGTCATTTCCACTGCAGACCATAACGCTGGGCAATTTAGGAGGAGGAAAGAGGACATAGCAGTTTATTAGGAAAGAAGGCCGTGGTGGGCCCTGCCAGCACCCCCCCACAGCCCTCCCCCTGCAGCCCCCCCCCGCAGCATCCACCCTCCCCCCACCCCCGCAGGCCCAGCCTCTCCACACAGCTGCAAGCCATCTTACTAAAAAATCATTGACCCAAGTCCGACTAAACTGGCCAGTGGAGACACTGACAGCAGGTGTAGAGGAAAATCAAGGGACTGAAGAACAAGTCAAAACTACCCCAGGGGCCAGGTGCTGGTAGTTCACACCTGCAATCCTACTAAGAAGGCTGAGTTCTGAGGATCTTGGTTCAAACCCAGTTGTGAGACTCTTATCACCAATAAACCACCAGAAAACCGGAAGTGGTGCTGTGGCTCAAGTGGTAAAGCACTCGCCTTGAGCTGAAGAGCTGAGGGACTGCACATGACCAACCAAAAACACCACAGAAACCCAACTACACTGGGATTCTGTCTGCCAGAAAGGAGATGGGTGAGCCTAGGGATTAGACTTAAGGGACTGGGAAGGTGCTCAGGGGTAGAGCGCTTGCCTTGCATTCATGAGGCCCTGGGTTCAGTTCCTCAACACCACATAAGCAGGGGGGGAAAAAAGCCAGGAGTGGAGCTGTGGCTCAAGTGATAGAGCACTAGCTTTAAGCTGAAGAGCTGAGGGACAGCGCCCAGACCAGAGTTCAGGCCCCATGACTGACCAAAAAAAAAAAAAAAAGAAAGAAAGAAAAAAAAGAAAGAGACTTAAGCCCAATAAGGCAGCACACACCTGTGTTGGGGGAGGTAGGAGAATGAAGATCCCAGGCCAACCCACAAGGGAAACAAAGCAAAAAAAAACAATGAAACATGAAAAGCAAAAGTCGTGGAAGTCTGGCTGTAGTGCTAGGCTAGCTCCAGACCTTGAGTTCCATCCCCATTGACTGCCAAAAAAAGAGAAAAAACACAGATGCCTGTGGCTCACACCTACAATCATAGCTACTCACAAGGCTGAGAGTTGAGGATCACAGTTCAAAGCCAGCCAGCAGGAAAGACCGTGAGAGACTATTATCTCCAAGGCTGGGAAGGTGGCTCCGTGGTAGAGCGCCTGCCTTGCATCCATGAGGCTCTGGGTTCCATTCCTCAGCACCACATAAGCAGAAGAAGCTGGAAGTGGCGCTGTGGCTCAAGTGGTAGAGCGCTCGCCTTGATCTGAAGAGCTGAGGCCCAGGCCCCATGACCAACAACAACAAAAAAGAGAGGCTATTATCTCCAATCAACCACCCAAAATAGAAGCTGGGTCTCAGGTGGTAGGGTATTAGCCTTGAGTAAAAAGTATATAAAAAGGCTCAGGCCCTGAGTTCAAGGCTCAGGAGTAGCGCGCGCATGCATGTGCACACACACACACACACACACACACACACACACACACGATTTTGAGAACATGAATGGAATGAGGTCACTGGAGTTAGGACTCTAAGGAGAGGGGGTAGGGTGGGTTTTGAGGAGGAGGATGCCCCCAGTGATCGGCGCTGACCTTTGGGACCATGCTGGGCTGGGCTGAGCTGTAGAGGTTGTCTGGAGTCTGCCCAGAGAAGACTCTCACTGCAGAGCCAGGATCTGACACTGTGTGTCCTCTGAGCCAATTAATATATCACTCTTGCAAACCAAAACTAAGCAGACACCTTGATGAGGCTGTCTCCTGTTTTTTTTTGTTGTTTTTGCTTTTTTTTTTTTTGTACCGGTCCTAGGCCTGGGACTCTGGGCTTGGGCGCTGTCCCTCAGCTCTTCAGCTCAAGGCTAGAGCTCTACCACTTGAGCCACAGCACCACTGCGTTTTCTGGTGGTTAATTGGAGAGTCTCACAGACTTTCCTGCCCAGGCTAGCTTTGAACTATGATCCTCAGATCTCAGCCTCCTGAGTCGGTTGGATTATAGGCATGAGACGCCAGTGCCTGGCTCTGTCTTTTGCACATCCAGATTGACTTTTTGCCTGTCTAGGCCTCACTGACTGGCACTGGCCGCGCTGTGAAGGCAGAGGGTGGGTATGGGGAACAGGTGATGGGAGCAGCAGACGCAGACCAGCCCCCTCAGCAGCCCTCCTCCAGCAAGGCTCGTGCTCCAGGCCTAGATCTGATTGGATTGACAGACAGGCCCAGGTTCCCAGCCTGTTCAGCACTCATCCCCAAGTCTGGCCTTCCCTCCCCAGGTACAGATGTGTCTGCTGAGAGACATCCTCACCCAGTTCCCACTGCGGTGTATATACACTCCTGCTTGCGAAACCTCGGCTCTCTGGGCACAGCTGCACTGCCAGGCTGTGCCCTCAAGCCGGCCCCCCTGGCGACATGTCCACATCACACACCTCCCACACCAACCTCGTTCGACTTCACTCACAGCCACCCGAGAAGTGGGGCTTCTCGCTGATGCAGCAACCCACTTCTTGTGGAACCAGACAGCCCTTCTGCAGGACGGCAGCGGCCACACCCCAGAGGGGTGGAGCCTCGCCCAGGCCCCTCCTCCACTGCCAGGTGGCCAGCCTAGAAGGAAGTTCAGCACTCTAATCTCCCTAACCCAGGGTCCAAAATAAATTGAATCTGCGGCTCTCACCTGACCAGGCCAGCCAGCTTTGGGAGGGGAATGGCTCAGCTTGGCCCCAGCCCAAGATTCACTTTGCAAACCAAGAAGCTGTGTATGGCTCATCACCCACAGCTCAGGAAAGGGTTCATGATGCACAGGTTTCAGCCCTGGTTTAGGAAAGCCTGAGCTCCTAAGAACCCAAGAGCCTTCACCTGCAATCCCATCTACTCAGATCTGAGGGCCAAGGTTAGACTCATCTCCAATAAACTACTCAAAAAAGCCAAAAGTGGCGTTGTGGCCTAAGTGGTAGTGCTAGCCTTTCAGACAGTCCGGCCAATGACCAGGCCCAGAGCTCAAGCCCCAGGACTGGGTGGAGGGTTTGAGGAAACCACATACCCACGAGCTTGAAGCTCACTTGGGAGTGCCCATAAAGCCTGCAGTCCCAGGCATGGGAACTCTCATCCTAGACTTCCACCAGGGGCACCTGCCAGACTCTGCCAGGCTCAGGACACCTGCCCCCCAGCCCATCCCCACAAAAGAGACAGTCCTATGTACTGCAGCACTTTATTTCTCCTTACACAATGACGTGTTGCTGGGGCCTAATGTTCTCACATAACAGTAGAAAACCAAAATCTGCTGTCATCTCTTAAGGAATTGAGTACAAAAAACCTTACATAAATTAAATGAATAAATTTACAGGTGTAAATGCAAACCGTTTCCAACTCAAGGCAAGTAACAACCCACAGCGCTCGGGAGGGAAACACCAGTGGAGAACGGAACTGGTTCTAAGGCTCGGACTTTCCCACCCAGTGAGACCGGCAAGACTGAAGTGACAACTGGTTCAGGGACGCTTGCCAGCCTTAGCAATCCTGGAACCATCAGCTCTGACCCGTTAATACCCTGCCCAGGTCACTGCGGGGCGCTCCAGAGCCGCCAGGCCTGGGCCTCTCCCCCAGTGCGCTCACGAGCCACGTGGGCTGAAGGGCTGAAATCAAAGATATGCACAGGGTATTAAACATATACCAAGGGAACAGTAACTTGAATACAAGGTCAAAGTCGGCAGCGAGTTCTACAACCCGGTGCTGACTCAAAGACAAATTTCTTTTCAAAGGCTTATTCCAGTCGTCAGGCCAGCATGAGGTGCGTACGTTTGCAGGGCAAATCGGTACTTCAGAATCCGCTCATGCAGCAGGTGCTAGGCACCTGCTCAGTCCGTCTAGAAGCACTTGCGGTGGACGATGGAGGGGCCCGACTCGTCGTACTCCTGCTTGCTGATCCACATCTGCTGGAAGGTGGACAGGGAGGCCAGGATGGAGCCGCCGATCCACACGGAGTACTTGCGCTCAGGGGGGGCGATGATCTGTGAACAAAGACAGCTGTGAGGACTGGGCTCTCAGGCCGTGGCCTGGCCCCCGCCCCCAGGCGCGATCACCATTTCCGGACACCCACCTTGATCTTCATGGTGCTGGGGGCCAGGGCGGTGATCTCCTTCTGCATGCGGTCGGCGATGCCGGGGTACATGGTGGTGCCCCCGGACAGCACCGTGTTGGCATACAGGTCCTTGCGGATGTCTACGTCACACTTCATGATGGAGTTGAAGGTGGTCTCATGGATGCCACAAGACTCCATACCTAGGAGACAAAACTCCCTCAGCTCTGCACTTCTGCTCTGAGCATTCCCATTCCAGCCGCCAACGGGGTCTCCCAGGCGGCCGGGCCGCACGAGCACCTACCCAGGAAGGAGGGCTGGAAGAGCGCCTCGGGACACCGGAAGCGCTCGTTGCCGATGGTGATCACCTGCCCGTCGGGCAGCTCGTAGCTCTTTTCCAAGGAGGAGGAAGAGGCGGCAGTGGCCATCTCCTGCTCGAAGTCCAGGGCGACGTAGCACAGCTTCTCCTTGATGTCCCGCACGATCTCCCGCTCGGCCGTGGTGGTGAAGCTGTAGCCTCGCTCGGTCAGGATCTTCATGAGGTAGTCTGTCAGGTCCCGGCCAGCCAGGTCCAGACGCAAGATGGCGTGGGGGAGGGCGTAGCCCTCGTAGATGGGCACCGTGTGCGTGACCCCGTCACCGGAGTCCATGACAATGCCGGTGGTGCGGCCCGAGGCGTACAGGGACAGCACGGCCTGGATGGCCACGTACATGGCCGGGGTGTTGAAGGTCTCGAACATGATCTGGGGAGGAACCAGCACGGCAGTCAGAGGCCGGAGCCGGAGCCACCCTCGCCCCCTCCACATGCAGCATGCCACAAACGTGATGTGTGGAGAAAAAAAGAACAGAACACAGGCAGAAACGCAAACAAGAAACCTGGAGGCTTCAGGAAGGAAATGCCAGGAGAGGAACAGAACCCTGGAAATACCAAAGAAACACTTGAATGTCAGGGAACAAAGGCGAGCAGAAAATGACTTATGAGAGGAAGAGTGAGGCCCGGGCGCGGCCCTACCTGGGTCATCTTCTCGCGGTTGGCCTTTGGGTTCAGGGGGGCCTCGGTCAACAGCACCGGGTGCTCCTCGGGGGCCACGCGCAGCTCGTTGTAGAAGGTGTGGTGCCAGATCTTCTCCATGTCGTCCCAGTTGGTGACGATGCCGTGCTCGATCGGGTACTTCAGCGTCAGGATGCCCCTCTTGCTCTGGGCCTCGTCGCCCACGTAGGAGTCCTTCTGCCCCATGCCCACCATGACGCCCTG